CGTGGGCCCCCGGGCCCCCCCCCCCCCCCCCCCCCCCCCCCCCCCTCGGGGGGGGGGCCCGCGGAGTTAGGGAGTTACGGTCTGTGTGTGCGCCGGCCCCGCCCCTGGCCTCCTCTGGCACCTGTTGGCCTGAGGGGCCGCGCCTGCCACCCAATAGACAGCCTCCCTGAACCGCCTGGGCCCCACCCCCAATGCGGAGCCACCAATCCCCGCGTTGCCGCAGCCCCTCTGCTCCACGGCCCCTCCTTCCGCGCGCTTCTTCCGGGTGGGCTGGAACAGGGGCCAAGGCCATGGCTCTCTGGGCGCTGCTCAGCCCTGGGGTCCTGGTGCGGACTGGGCACACCGTGCTGACCTGGGGAATCACGCTGGTGCTCTTCCTACACGACACCGGTGAGCCGGACACCGCGCGACCCCGAGCCCACCCGATCCCTTATGATTCCCTTTGAGTGGGTCTCACCCGGTCCCCCTAATCCTCAGTTACATTGAGATTCACCCTGATCTCCGCCAGTTCCCCAAGCGTCCTTCTCATCTGCTGGTCCTGGAGCCATCTACTCTCTGATACCCAAGTTGGTCCCTAATTAATCCCGGGATTTTTCGGTCGCCGACAGGAAATTATCCAAATCCGAGGACCGATTAAAGGCCCCAAGTCCCCTGATCCTGGGCTCCACCCCATCCTTCCAGAAATTGCCTTCCAGCCTCTCCCTGAATTAGATTAAGAAATCGACTAGATTGAAAAACTGGTTTTCTGCTCAGCTCCCCAAACCCTAGGAGACAACTCAGCGACCCCCTTCCCAGGTTTCCCCTCCCAAAGACAGTCCCCACCGAGGATCGCCTCTGCCTCCTCCACCGTCTTTATCTTCAGGGCTCCCCACCAGCAATCAGCAGCTCCCTCCCAAACCTTCACGGCTCTTTCAACCAAGGGTACTAGAGCTGTCTGCACTCAGCTTGGCCTGTGTCTCCACGTTCTCTCACTTCTCAGCTCCCCCACCTCTCCAAATCTTCACCACCATGGGCTTCAACATGTTGGGCCCTTCCTGGTCTTGGCTCCCTAGGCCTCCTGGGCCTCCCTCTTTGAGGGCT